TTGTCTGTAAGGGCCCTTACTTAGAAGCAACAAATTATTATGTGACAAGGATGTTTAAAGAAAAAACATTTGTGATATTTTGTTTCCATCTCCTCAAAATCCAATATGTTATTGATTTAGTGTCTACCTGAAGGATCAGTTTGGCATTTACTTAACGGTGTCTAGTCCATGATAATAATAATGTATTATTCTGCTTCGAACAAATAACAGTATGCCAATCTAGACTCAAGACGTATTGTAGTGAATGCTACAGTTATATTGCACTTTAGGCTGTAACTTTGAGTTTATGCTTTCTCCCAGTATTAGTCATTTGCATAAGACTGTCTGCAGCAATTTAGATAGATATATATATACATATATATATATTAGGGCTGTCAAACGATAAAATGTTTTAATCGAATTAATAACAGCTTAAAAGATAATTAATTGTAATAAATCCCATTTCGAACTATGGGCAAAATGATGCCATTTTTTCTGTAAGTTGTTTGAATGGAAAGATAAATGATGACATAGTGTACATATGTACTGTTTTTTTTATTATGATAATAAATCCACATAAAATAGCATTAACATTATTAACATTCTGTCTTTTTGTAGTAGACACTATTTTTTCATCTCAACATATTCCGCATCTGCTAAAGCCTCCTCTTTCTTCTTTTTCTCTGTCTCATAAAGGCTGTGGATCCTCTTCCACCTGTTAGCTTCGTTAACAGGTGGGAGGGGCTAACTCCTTTTGCAGATTGAAACGATTGGATCTGAGTTTACCGTGACGTATGCATTGCGCCCGAGTCTGTCGTTAGCATTTAGCCAAGTCATCTCCTTTGCTGCTAACGGAGCCCGTGGGGAGCAGCGCCACAATTTTTCCAGCGATTACATTTGCTAAACATTACCCTTGCTCTGACTTCAATTTCTTGATAGAACCAGACAGGATTACTTTACTATCGCATTTTTCGTCATTTCCAAACCACAACCTTCCCGTTTGACGCAAACTCTTGACGTCACCCAACTAACTACAACACCTGCCTTCCGCGCTCTCTGAATGGTCGGTCGAAATTCAACCGATTGTAATCGCTAACACAGGGACCAGACCCAGACGTTACATGCAGTGAAATGATGATTGAACGGAGTGTACGGATGGCTAAGGCCAGGCTAGTCCTGTGCGTGTATATGGCATTGGGTACATGGCCACGTTACAGCTGCGCGCTCCCGTGCTGTTAAGCCGCTCACAGCCGCTGGACGCGGGAACCGCTGTCCAAAGCGGCCGCAGCTGCCCCAGAACGCTGCGGACTTCCATTCACAGCAATTTCCCCGCAGTCACGCGCGCGGGGTGCCAGTTACTTGGCACATGTATGCTTTAAAAGCGTTAATTGTTTTAACGCAAATAATGAAAAAAAACAATTAACACAAGTTTGTTTTATTTTGACAGCCCTAGTGCTGTCCAACGATTAAAATATCTAATCGCGATTAATCGCATGAATTTCATAGTTAACTCGCGATTAATCGCAAATTAGTCACACATTTGTATCTATTCTTTATGTCCCTTGAATTATCATTTTAATACTACTAAAAAGTGAATAGGCGTGCTGTGTGCAATTGCTTTTTTAAATAATTTTGTAAATTTGTTCATGTAAATACTCTATGCTGTTTCTCTGTTTACTTTCGGTATATCTATGACTGTACACTGTTTGCTTGTATTGCCTTTTTTATTAACCCCTCCCCCCCATCTCCCACTTCATGTCCCCCCCCTCCTATGTGCCCTTCTGGGTTTCTTCTTTGGCCCCCTGTATCTCCAACTACATATTGTTTGTAATCTCTGTCTACAATGTATCTGAACTAGTCTCCTTTTCTTTGTTTCTATTTTTTTTTCTGTATATGTGTTTGTCTGGAATAAAAAGTAAAAAAAATATATAATAATTGCGCGATAAAAAAAATGACGCCGTAAATATTGATTTGCGTTAAGGCGTTAATAACGCAATATTTTGGACAGCACTAATATATATATATATATATACTTGCGGAGTAATCTACACATCTGAATTACAAGCAGAGGTTGCGATGCCAAAGGGAAGTTTTATTGTTTTGAGAGGTCAGAAATAATGATCGGTAGAACGTTTTGAAATTACATTCAAATCATGGAGCATTCTACTGCTGCTGCGAGGAGCTATGCAATAAATATATATAATATATATACACATACATGTACACTTATATATAATATTAATGTTATACATACTGTATACATACTCTCTCACTCTTACATACAGTACAGACCAAAAGTTTGGACACACTTTCTCATTTTTGACAGTAGATTCACACCCAGGCTGTGTAAGGGCTATTTGTCCAATAAGGAGAGAGGTGGGTGCTGGGCCAGATGACCCGACCTCCAGTAACCGGACCTGAACCCAATCCAGATGGTTTTGGACCTGAACCCAATCCAGATGGTTTTAGGGCTGGACCACAGAGTGCTAAGCATCTGTGGGAACTCAGACCATTTCAGGTCCTCTTGAAGCTCACCAAGAGAATGCCAAGAGTGTGTGAAGCAGTAATCAGAGCAAAAGGTGCTACTTCGAAGAACCTAGAATATAAGCCAGTATATAATTCAGTTGTTTCATACTTTTTTTTTTAGTATGTACATAATTTGACGTGAGTTAATTCATAGTTTTGATGCCTTCAGTGTGAATCTACAATTTTTAACATAATCATGAAAATGAAAAACTGAGAAGGTGTGTCCAAAATTTTGGTCTGTACTGTATATATATATTTGGTAGTTCTGTATGTGATCCACTCCTGAGCACTGTGGCTCTCCCAGATGGAGACGTGGGTTCCTGGCTCAGCAGAGGCTTCCTGCTTCCTCAGGGCAAAGGTTGGAGGGGGGCGCGCTGAGTGTGAGTATGAGTGTGAGGCTTTATTCAGGACACACAGAGCCAGATATTGAGCTGTCACATTTGTTGGTGCCTATGGGAAATCTCTGAGTTTAGAGTAGGCCGAAGGGACGCAGCCAAGATAGATCAAAGCTTTTGAGTCCACCTTTTATTAACAGAAGTCCATTCACATATATTTAGTGTGTTGCTTTGATATTGATTTATTTTTTATATTGGATGAAATTTGAAAAGAAAATCAGAAGCAAGTCTTTATATCAGTATTATTTCATGATATCACCAGTCTCCTTATATATCAACCAATTCTTTCCATTTGTTGGGGAATTACCTTTGTATTACGTAATGAAATACTGCTATAGCCTTTAGATTGGGAAAGTGCTGATGATCTTTTTGAAACATGTCCAAAAATATAATTTTTGTGTCTTCTGTCAGTATTAAATCCCATTTTTTTGCATCTTGTTTTGTGCCATTGTTTTTACTTTTTTAATTGTCAGAGCAGGCAGATAGGTGAGAAAAGAAAATGAACGGCGTGGGTAGCAGGTGTGGAGACCGGGTGCCCTCTAGTGGATAAACTAGGAAATTGTAGAACACATTTAAAAAAGCACAGGATTTTATCCTTAATTTTCTTACGCATAAAACTGAATACATTAAATGGGGTCAATCTTGTGTTGGAGATTTTACTGCCAATTTAATAGAGGCTGATATTAATGAGAATAACCCAGATGCAAGACAGGACATTCTGATTGTTGCACATCTGACTGTTGCCATAGAGTAATAAAGAACGTAGTGCACTCTAAGCCAAAAGGACATCAAGTGCAGTGGAGGGGTATTGTTTATTTTATTTCCTCAATGTTTTTTTGAACTGGGTTTTGATACTTTAAGACTCCCTTTTAGAAGAAACATAAGTAGTAGAGGGATACCTGTATTGAATATTTGAGCAGATGAAAATGTTAGATCGCGCATCGGTTTGATATGTCAATGATATTATTATCAGGATATTCCCTTTAATTTGATGTATTATAATGACGCCATATATTTCTACTTTAACACTGTACTTGTTACTTGCAGAATAAACAACAGTTAAAAAAAACCATAATTGGAAACATTTTGTAATAAGTTATTTGTGATTTGAGGGGTAGGGATTCATATGGTGTATAAGCATACATGAAAAAGTATCGGAATTGATTTTGGGCTTGAAACAGCTGGATCCCTAAATATGGCCAGTATGTACATACAGTAGGGCTGCCAAAAGGACTATTCTGCTGAATGAATCATGATCAACTGATCATGTTTCAAAATCAAGATTTTATTGCATTTTTTGTCCTTTAAAATAATACTGTCATAGCTTTCCATTATGTATGAAATAGTTCAGAGAAACAAGCCAAGAGTGTTTACTCAGACAAGTCAAAAGTGAGAGTCTTCGGGGCTTATTGACAAAATATAAAATGGTTAATTTGGACCAACTTCACATCCTTCTTTTAATATGTCTTGCCTTTAATTTTAACATCCTCATCCATTATACTGTGGGTGAATCTTAGTTAGTGCCTGTGTGCCTCTTTCTCTCCTCCTCCTCCTCTCCTCCTCCTCCTCTCATCTCAGAGACTCCAGTGTTCTCCAATGTGAGCCGTTGCCTGACAGACTGCTCCGTTTATGCGCTCCGCTCTGCGCTATACTGCACTGCACTGCTCTCCACAGCACCTCTCTTCTCTGCCTCCTCTTTCTTCCCTATCTGTCCTTTTCTTTCGTCGTTGTGTCTAAGTGCATATTTTTTCTGTGCGTTTATTTCTTGTTGGGATCTCTGGAGATTTCTTTTCTTACTAAAGCGGAGTGCGCTCCTGCAACTGGATGTGGAGATACTCTGGGTGCTCCTGGCTGGAATTGCCTCAGACTTTGTGGATGTGAGTGAGAGAAAGACGAAGGGACAACGGCTGCCCAGGTGAGAGCAGAGAAGGTGGTGGATCTGGTCTATAGTCGTCCGTCGAGGGTCATGCCCTGGGATCTGTACGTTTGTTGCAAATTGGAGACACTCTCCGTTTTTTGCCCCCCTTGTGGGGCAACACTGATCCTGGAGCCACTAAAAGCTGCTGGAGATCAGTGGCTGCACCGTGAAGAGCGGGCAACATGAACCAGTTGGACGCACCACGGCCGCTCAACTGGACCATCAGAAAACTCTGCCATGCAGCGTTCCTGCCTTCTGTGCGTCTGCTCAAGGTAAAGCAACATTCAAGAGATGAACCAGAAGCATGTGTGCCTTTCTCAGGGAAATATGACAGCTCTGTGTCATAGTACTTTCATAGGCACAATGGAGGCTCTGATGTAATGAAGAGGACTGCTCCAAAAGGGCATATGCTTCAACATTAATTCATATTTGATTATTTCTAGCTCATCATCACATGAGAACACAACACACGAATAACAGTAATGACAGTAGTTCATCTATTTAGCTAAGAAATTGAAAAGGGTTGAAAACAATCAAAATTCCTTAGGACTCAGAGGATGCCACACTAGTAAATTAAAAACCATAGCTGAATACAAATGAAAACAATTGAATAACTACATCATCCAGTTACAGACCAAGAATATAAAGTCTCGATTTGCTTTAATTGCCCTTCCCCCGATACCAATGTGATTCCAAGATGATGAGAGCAAGAAATGTTAAAATATATTGTTTGCTTAGGTTTTTGACTCCCAGGTATGCTAAATGTGATTTTATTCATTCATTTGCTTTCATAATCCAGTTGCTGGCACTGTTTAAAGTAGGCTATTGTTGGAGGTCGTGAATGGCTCTCCTTTTCAACACTTTGATGTGGCTTTATCAAAGTGTCTTGTGATGGAGCTCCTCACAATCATATTGAACATTTGCATTTGTAAAGCCAGTTTGAAATTAACGCCATTGTGACAAGTGATTGAACAAGGCGCTTTTTTGCTTCTTCGTATTTAGTGTATGAGTCTGGAACATATGCTTCACCGTGGTACTCGTAAATGATCAAAGGCTTCTGGGACAGTAAGATCTCATTAAAACCTTGGGTTTATTTATTTTTACATTATTGAAGATCACTGTTGTTTGAAGGGCATTTTTCTGTCTGTGGGACCACTGAGCTTTATATTCATCTAGTGTCCTAATGGACGACTATAGATGATAATAAAGCTCACACCATCTGAAGTTAGATGGTGTGTTGCATAACAGTTGGAATGGTGCAGTGTTAATTCCACTATGGGTAATAGAATGTGTTAAGCAGCAGCGACTTTGGTGGTACAGTGTTGGGCATCTAATCAAATTGTTGGTCGTTCATTCCAAGCCAGTCAGTGCTCCTTCTATTATTGTTTTGTTTGGTTTCATGGTACTTGGCTAGATTATTAGAATGATTGTAGTTGATGGAAAGAACACTTAAATCAGTAATAGCTACAGAAGTATCTCGTACAATGTGATAATTGTGGAGTAAATCATGCAAAAACTATAATCTTTTGAGAGTAAGACCTCTTTTTTTCCGTTAAGAAGTTTACTTGCACATTCTCGTGTGTGCAGCGTTTTCTTCCCCACCCTTGTTGGAGTAACTTATAATAATTGTTTTTCAGGAAGAATAGCTGTTGCTGAAATTGTTATTAAACCATTGTTAAAACAATAAAACATTTCAAAGATCATGATTAACATAGAGATTCATCCATCCATTTTCTTCTCCTTAATCAATTTCTGGGTCAGGGGGTCCACAGGAGGATGCTGCTCAAGTTTGAACTGCCTTCATTTTTTAGCCGGGGCTTCAAGCAAAGTGGGGTTCAGTGTCTTGCCCAAGGACACAATGATATCAGACATCAGTGGGAGTTGTGAGGTAGGTCTCAAGGTGGGCTTGAACCCATGACCTTCAGGCCCAAAGGCCAATACTCTTCCAACTGAGCCACTTTGGCCCCCTTGTTTTGAGATTTTTTTTTCTGATTGTTCTAAAATGAATAATAACTTTTACTCAACACGTGGTCGGGGATAGTCCCACAGAGTACGTGCTCCAATCCCTTGACTCCTATCTCTAACCCTATCCCACACATAGACTCTTGATGGTCTGGTCACACACAGCAGCAGTTCCTCAGTTCATGTTTGAAACATTGGTGAATGTATGTAGCCATTTTGCAGTATGAACTTTGTTCATAAGTTTTAATGTTTTTTTTTTGCACCAAGAAGTAAAATGTATGTTATAGCACAATCATCAGTTGCTGCATTTCTGAAGCTGCACATGCCTTATTTGATATGACAGGAGGGCTCTTAATAGTAACTATTTGAACATCTTCATAGAGATGACTTACACATTGATGCTTGATGATTTTGTAAATGCATTTTGCTCTAATTCTGCAGTCATTATAGAATTATCTGAGGCATAAAACCTCAGCATGTTTAAGTCCTGGTAAGATTCATTAAACAATTAATCAATACTAAATTATTGGACAACAAATGTATTAGTTCTGATAAATCGACTGATCATATGTGTGATGTCTGTGTTTCCATGACTCAGCCGCTGTTTCTATCACATGAATAGTGTCTGTCCAGGTTAAGAGTCCAGATTGTACCTATTTTGAGAAGTGAACTTGTGGACCTCCTAATAGATTATATTTACAGTGAAACCTATTGTTTTATTAAAAATATAACGTTTACACATTTCCTGTTAATAATACTGCTAAAATTGTATAAATCACTTGTTACAGCCCTACACAATAGTACCTAAGGACAATACAATCCATAATCCTTTCCAATGGCTGGCCATTGTTGAAGTAGCAGTTTCCTCAAGTCTCACCAGTCCTGTTTCCGTGTAAGGTGGTTCCAGGACACCGCAGCACACCGCAGGTAAAAGGGCCTAAGACCTATGAGGTGTATCCTGCCTCATGAGGTGTGTAATTCACCAATGCTGCCCACATCCGGCCTGTGACTCCGTTTTTTTCACCTCAGTGGGTTTGTTTGAACAAAATAACAATCCTTAAAATATAATACAAGTATCTGAACTGCTGCTTGTGCACTGACATGCTCCATTTTATTTAATTATGATTTGGATTTTAAACAGACAAAATGTGAGATGGCTCTTAAAACGCAGTTGCGGTATATACTTAATCTATGCTTGTCTTTCCAGTAAATTCGCCTTTCTTTGCAAACATATACATACATAACATTAACGTTCCTTTCAAGACTAATGCAGCCAAAATCACAAACACTCTTATGTAAAATCCAATGGGCCCAATGTAGCAGCTAAAAATAAACAAGTTATATAAAAGACACATCACAGGCAACACTTGAAAGAACAGTTTCTAAACTTCTTTTGTTGTACATTATTGTATTTATAAAAAGAAAGAAATGACATAAAAAATAAAGTGATTGTCTGGAGTTTGTCAGAAAATAACAGAGACAGAGAGGTACATGATTTGAAAAAAACGACCCAAGCTCCCTCCCCCAATCAACACATTTAAATGTTAATCGGAGAACACATTATACATATACATTATTAATACACATGCACAGAGGGTTTCAGAATTATTTGTTAACGTTTTCATGACAAAAATAATGTTCTAATGCACAAAAAAGCGATCTTGGTAAACCCGGAAGTAGCTATTAACATTCATTGAACATTATAGGACACATCTGCAGAGGATCTGATTATGGATATAGGTTCAGTTTATAAATGGCTAACTCGCGGATGTTCAGAATTCTTTGTTCAGTTTTCATGCAGTTCCAGAGCCTGATGGAGGCTTGATTCGGAGGCTCCGCAAAAACAAACAACTGAGCATGCGCGCAGCTACGAGCATCAGCGCCGATGATTGACAGCCCTTGGCATCACTTGATTGGTTAAAGTGGACGGCATCGTGGATTCTGAACTATAGCTAAGAGAAGGGAAGGCGAGACTTATCCGTAATATTAGAATTCATAAAATGACTTATTTTATATCAACATTTAAGGCCAGGAGGTCAATTTACTGTAATACAATTCTTAAAATGTGGATTTCATTTAGAGTTCTGGACTATCACTTTAACAAACACCACAATAAAAACCACAATAACATGAAAATGTCTGTAACTCCAAATAAATGTTTTAAGACATGTCATGTTGGAGGCTTTGTGAATGGAATAATTAACAGGACAGGGAAGACTATTTAATGGGTAATGGTTGGGGATACAACTGTAAGCAATTTCTAATTATACATTATACATTATGCAAAACAATAATATTCAATAACTGCAGACAAACTGGACGTTTTGGACATAACACATCGCGTCTACTGGTTGTTACGTCCCAAACGGCTGTCTGGAGCGTCATTAACTGTAGGTTTGAATGAATCTGTATTTACGTACTGCGTCCTTTACTGGACAAACGAGCTGGAAAAAGAGTGGGTGCTGTGACCACTCTTTACTAACGACCGCAGACATTTCAGGACGTTTTGGGTCATTGACCCATATATAACATTTATACAGTTTAGTGTGGAGTGAGCCAAGACCTTTTTCTCATTTGGTAGAAAATAATTTGCATTAAAAGTAATGTTGGTATCTTTTTAGATTTTGAAGTACTGTTGGCCAATAGATGAAGATACCCAACTTGTACTGACAGCTGATTGCTCTGAAGCAAAGATTTACATGTACAAGCCTGCACAAGTATTGTGTAAATGGCTATAAATATGTTATTTTCTAAAAGTGATTGATTAGGTTTGACATCAGTGTCTCTTGAGGAGCTCACAGATGGATCCTATAACGAGAAAGCAAAGATGTGCTGATCATTGCAGCTGCAGGAGAAGTGTGAAGGGACCTTCGACTCAAAGGGCGTCACAGTGCACAGTGCTTTATGTCTCAATTAAACAGCAAACACCAAATTCATGAGAATTCAATTCAATCATGATCTTACTAATGAGGCAAAACAAGAACATACTGTATGCCCGACAATTATTACCTCATTCCTTTCTTTAGGCATACAAAAGCTTAGAAATGTCTCATTTGGATATTGTCCATGCAACTGGGATAGAAAAGGATTTTGCTATTTGAATTGTAAATCCTGTAATTTTTCATGGGATCTTCTGTGAAAACATAAATCTAATTTGAAAGAACTTGAAGGTGAAATCATTGGTGACGATGTTTCTAATTGTGAGCGCAGGCTCAGTGGGCTCTGAATCCTATGAAGTAGAAGTAGAAAACCATCACGAAAGAAAAACCTTCCTGAAGATTCAGAAGTGGTTCTGCTTGTTCTGCGTTCC